AGTCATTTCCTGCTCAAAAGGCAGTGTCCAATAACCAAACCACTGAACCCACAGAAGTGAAGGTGGAGGTCAAGGTTAGGAACCATTTACCATTAATCTTGCAGCTCATATGCAATTATTTATGACTGGACCCCTGCAATGTAAAGAGATTTGCTCTGTCCTCCCTAAAACCCAGATCCAAGCATGCAAAAATTCAGTTACATTTATTACCAGACAGTAAAGTGGGGTTTACTGAAGGGAACTGCTTTGTAATTTAATATACAGTTATACATTGTGAGCACACGTCAACCTTACCATCTAAATAGGCTTGTTGCAATCCTGCCAGTTTTCTTCCATCTCAAACCTCCCTCCAGTGAACAGCGGTGATATGATAAACTGAACTAAGTTGAAGGTGGTTTCGGTCAATACAAAGCTGCTTCTGGCCTGTCAGAGCAGACATTATAGCCGATAGGTGTAGGCTGAATGGATGCTGTGTGTTTGTGCTGACTCACTCAAACGATTGACTGGCAACGAATCATAGTGGCAGTGACTCAACCTTCATCTTCCTCTCTGAGTGCAGAATGTGCCAGTCCACCTGCCCAGTCCCACTACCACACATAATGCTAATGTAAATCTGTTAAACACAATGAATCAGAGTGAGAAGCTGTACCTTGTCCTTTCTGCTCAGGTAACAGTTGTTGACAAATATGCCCAAGAAAACATGTGGATGAAGTTTATTTTGATTCTTAGAGTTCACTGAGCCAGCTAGTGGGAATGTTTATGAGTATTGCCATCTGTCCTTTCTCTCCTCAAAACTTTCAGTTACACTGAGTTCAGTGTGGCAGAACCAATTCTGCTCCAAATGTTGAACATTACATTTTGTGTGGCATCAAAGTTAATATATATTTAAAACGTAAAAAATATAAAAAAGTTAAAATATAATCTATAATCAATTGACACATGATCAACTTAATGAGAATGCTAGTTATCATAATTAAAATGCTGACATCGTTACTATTATTACAATGCAAAATGCAATTTTGTTCACGATTCTAGTGAGTTTTATCAAACCTAGTTTATTTCAAATGCTTTTATTTACCCCTTGGAAAGTCTCTTTTCTCAAGAGCCAAAGGGCAAGAAAAAAAATCCTGTACATTAAAGCATTTCACTAATGGCTCTTCTGACTGCTTTCCCTGTCTGTATTCTGGGAAGTAGGGAATCTGTGTATTGGGACTGGGCAGTGAGTGCAGACAAAGCTCCTGAGCAGCTGTGAAAAAGCATTTTAATATTCTCAACAACCTACCGGGACAATCTACTAATGTGTAAGAAAATATAATTAGTCAAAACTTACTTAAATCTGCAATGAGAGATATTTAAAGCAACATCTTTACATTTAACAGACCAAGATGGTGTCTTTGTTTTATTGACTCATTCTTAATTAAGTAATGCGTGCGCATATCAGTCATCCATGCAGAATCTCACTGCATCTGCAAAATAAAGAGCAATAGCAAACATCTCGGATGGAAAATACAGCCAAAATAGTTTCACACTCACATGCAGGACCATAAATCTTCCCTCCAGCAAGCTATATACCACAAAAAATATGCCTCTTCTTTTGTGGCATAAAAGCCTAGGCTAATATGTCAATCACGATAGCCGGGGAAATGCATATGGGATATGTGTGTATTTATAAATTCTTCTTTGGGTTTCATATATCATCATATCGCTGTTGGCGTCAGTCTCAGAATTTTGCAGTCCAAACTTTACCCTTGAATTTGCCCCTAGTCATTGTAAGGCAAATTAATAATTCATTTCAAACTGAATATTTGGGCTAACCCTCTTCTATAGTGCTGCTTTGTTGATCTAATGTTCTCTCGGATGCTCAAATGGAACATCCTAAGTGGAAATGTCCTAAATTAATAATTAGTGTGGCCAATAATTAGATAATTAGTGTGGATATACTCTGATATTTTGTATTGTGTATGTGTGGGACATGTGGTTGCCCTACCTTGGCAGCTACAGAAGAGCTTGGTTTCTCCAGCAAATCCCAGAGCTTCTGCCTTTTGTCTGGACAGCAGCCCGTGTCCACCTGATCTCCTTCCTTCTCCCTGAGAGTTTCAGCCTCTCTCCTCAGCTCTTCATTCATCTGCTCCTTCTTCTGATGGTACCGTGCCTGGCAACACGACTCCAGATAGATCTCATCGATGCCCCAGTAGTCAAGCTCCTGACCAAAAGACAGAGCGCACATCTCTTCCATCATGTGTAGCTTGCCAGTCCGGTAAAAGTTTAAAATGGAGGAAAAGGCACCTGGGTGCCTGTCAAAGAAATACTCATTATCATTTAGACTGTAGTCGTCGCAGATCTCCATTAAGGTTTCATGGGTGTTGCAGTCTCTGAGTTTCCCCAGACGGGTTCGCGGCAGTCGGTCCAGGGTTCTCCATAGCACCTCATGGACCAGCCCACCCACATTGATCCGGACTCTTCTGGATCTGGCTTTTGTCCGGATAATGTCGATGGGTTCTGGCGGGAGTGAGCCCTGTGGCCGTGAGACCCTCTGAGCCCCGAAGGTTACCCTTTCAGTCATGATTGCGACTACTCAAATGTTATGCTAATTCAGATGTCAATTAGGAGTACAATGATGAATCCACCTCAGACAAGGCCCTCCATGGTAGCACCTGAAAAGCAAAGACATTTCAGGACACCTTATCATGTAACATAAAAATTAGTTAAATAATATTTGGAATAATACATAGGCATATGATTAGAAAAAACTGAATGTGGATTTCTAAATAAAGCCATTAATATAATAAAAATATCATTTTATGGAATTCAATGCATTCAGATCTCCAACGCTATAATGACCCTATTTTATGCTCTAAAAAATTAATGAACCAACAAACTTTGCAGGCTAAAACTAGTCTCCAAAGCACACAGTTTTTAGAAAGTAGAGGATTATGAAAGGAGGAATCTTAACAAGGGTCCTGGACTTTAGTAGTTCTACTGTAATGAATTCATGCAGAATATGACTTTAGCTCTGCTGTGTAAGTATGTTTTCAGCTTAGAAATAAAAAGTGTTATAATATTTGTGGGGAAGAAATATACGAGAAAAATTCGTCTAGGTGGTGTAACTGTCCAGAGATAATAAAAAAAGAGTAAAAACAAGTCCTGAAACAATTTTGTTTTAAAATGTTATAAATATTTGAAAACGTTTTATTTATTAATCAAAGTTCTTGTGGCATAACTGTGAGGCCATTTTGTTGTCATGTGACAAGAAAAACTGTACGTGTCAAGGTCATTAAGTTTTTTTTTTTTTTCATTTTACTTTGACATATTCTGCCATTTTTATGTAGAGGCTTGTTTTGGAGTAACTAAGAAAGCTTCTTGATATTTATAAATTTGTAATGATATTTGTAAAAACAACAACAACAAATACATAAAAAATAAATACAAATCTTGAAAATATCCTTATATTGTTATTATTATTCCATTTGACATTACCTTGACATTGCTAGTCAGTTAATGTGTAATAAATGTTTTTTTTTTTCAACAACTTTAACAACAAATTACATTTCAGAACTTAGCACATAGATGTTATTTCTCTCTTTTAATCATCTCGAACATGTAAATTCAACAATGACAATTGAAATGTTCTTGTGTAGCATTTGGATATCAAGTAGGCTATACTTTTGGCTCTGAGGACAGAAGATAATGCGATTGAGTATTTAAGAATGTCTAGATGATAAATCCCGGTAGGACTATTTAGCTGGCTTCTATTTCCTGCTCTTAAAAGACCTCGTAACAGCCGGCTATTTAAAACTCCCAACCAGAGAGGAAACTATATAGGCCAACATTTCATAATGCTGCAGCACTGCAATGTATCAAAACTATATGTCCCGTACTTTGCATGACTTCAAATATCCGCAGCTTTATGCTTTATCCCCACAAAGTTAAGTTGGTGTGCCCTATTACCAACTCGCTCTGTAAACTCTAATTACTGAGGAAAAAATCAACTCAGTAAGATCTATGAGATCTATGCTCAAGAGAAACAGAAAAATGCTGACGTGATACAAGTTTGTTACACAGCTAAAAAGACGATTCTCACTAAATAAATGATTAGAAACAATTCATTCTTCGTATCATTTTTTTTTTTCAAGTTTTCCCTTACAAACTTTGCATTTCAAGCTGTTCAGGTACATTCATCATCACAGACTAATCCTTAATCAGGAAGGAAGAGGCTGTACTTTCCAGTGCACCTGTTTCAGGACAGCTGATCAAACTCTCTTCTACACAAAGGTTATTCAGCGGTTCTTAGATGATCAAGAACCACTTTTGCTGTAAAAACCTCTCGAGGTGAAACTGCATGACATAAAAAAAGTTATTGTAAAATAAATGGCATTCTTTTTCGTTTGTGTCAGGAGCCTTTATTTCTGAGTGAAGTCTAAATAGCTGGGACACGCTGAGAGCAGCAGAACTGTAGTGCGTGCCTGTCCGTGGAGTTTACTGTGCCTGAGCAAACAGTGCAATCTTACGCACAACTATCCAAACGACCTCTTTTAAAGCGAATAAAAGCGGCGAAATCTTACCTTCCCGCCGTTCACCTCTTGTTCCTTTACCTCTACAACCAAAAAGAAGTCAATTAGCCTCTTATTTCCCCCTCCATCAGCTCAGGGAAGTGAGGCGTCAGTGGTAACCCTGCTGAAAGGGCAGTCGTTCCTCTTCATTCTGTATCATGGACTCAATCTCACAAACAACTCGCGCGAATTAAGCACAAAGGCGAAGTTGGACAAAAAACCCCGAAACCGTTGATTATTCTCGCCACGAAGCCATGATAGTGTTTTGAACGTGCAAAGCAGCGCGTGTAAAAGACTGTCAGGCGTAGCGCTCAGCGGGGAGCATCGACTGAGCAGTGTTCGCGCCGCGCGCTGCATCACAGCCCGGAGGTGAAGCCTAATTGGATTGAGCTGTACATCACCAAGGATAGCAGCAACATCAGGTCCCTCCGTCCCATACAGGAGTCAGTGTCACTGATCTCTAGCTCTCTGTCATAGCAAGTTCAAATGAGGTGGGGACATGACACAATGGAACACGATGGTCCACATTTGGAAAAGGCTTAATATAGTGCATATCAAGGAATCTGATATAATTTGCGTGGTATTTAAGATGATATTTAAGATTCTCCTATAGAACCTAATCAGGGATCACTTAATTGAAAAGATTAGAAGATTTAGATCGCTATGGGATCTATCTATCTATCTATCTATCTATCTATCTATCTATGACAATATTATTTTAATATTCAGATCTTCAAAAGCAGGCACTTTCACACTGACCTAAAACTTTCGAAAACTAATGACATGGCAAAATCGAAATCCTCTCTGCAGACCTTTAATGAGTTAAACACAAGACCTCTATTATGGCACTTAGTTGTAATAATAAGACAGCATGGGGGAAAGTGCTGTATTTCAATTGGCCACTGGATGGGGATATGATCCTTCTTTCTCTGCACTTTTTCTCACCCCTTTCATCCTCCCTCCACTACACTGTACTCAACACTTCCTGTCAGCATTCTTCTGGGACACTTTAACTGAGTGGGACAATTGTTCCTTTCATGCCCGTGCCCCTTGTCAACAGAGAAACTGTCTCTTTCTACCCCCCCCCCCCCCCCCCCCCCCCCTCCC